ACAATATTTTGAAATGAGATAATTTTCAGGCCTGCATGGCTTAATAGGGAGCTCCTGACAAAACTCAAGCATAAAATGAAAGTGCATAAGAGGTGCAAGCAGGGTCAGGTGACCTGGGAAGAATATGGAGATACTGTCTGAGTGTGACCGTGAATATGAGCATCTTGTATCAGAAACAGTGTGGCCAGCAGGACTAGGGCAGTCATCATCCCTCTGTACTCAGCATTGATGAGGCAGCACCTGGAATTCTGTGTTCAGTTTTGGGCCCCTTACTACAAGAAAGACATTGAGGTGCTGGATGGAGCGTGTCCAGAGAAGAGTGATGAAGCTGGTGAGGGGTGTAGAACACAAGTCTTATGAGGAGCAGCTGAGGGAACTGGGGTTGTTTAGCCTGGAGAAAAGGAGGCTGAGGGGAGACCTTATCGCTGTCTACAACCTGAGAGGAGGCTGTAGCCAGGTGGGTGTCAGTCTCTTTTCCCAGGTAACAAGTGATGAGACAAGAGGAAATGGCCTCAAGTTGAGCAATGGGAGGTTCGGATTAGGTATTAGGGAAAACTTCTTCACCAAAAGGGTTATCAAGCATTGGACAGGCTGCCCAGGGAAGTGGTTGAGTGACTGGCCCTGGAGGTATTTAAAAGACATAGATGTAGTGCTTAGGGACGTGGTTTACTGGTGGCTTTGGCAGCGTTAGGTTTACAGTTGGACTCAATAATATTAAGGGCCTTATCCAACCTAAATGATTCTATGTGTCTATGACTATGCATAGGTGGGGTTAGGGAAACCAAAGCCCATATGGGGCTGAATCTGGTGAGAGTCATAAGGGGCAACAAGAAGTAAGTACACTGGTAACAAAACTGGGATTAGGGAGAATGTGGGCCGGCTGCTGAATGGGGCAGTGGACTTTGTGACAGAGGACACGGAAAAGGCCAAGGTACCTGATGTCTTTCAAGAACTACAAGCTGATCAGCCTCACCCCATTCTGGGAAGGTGTTGGAGCAAATTTTCCTGGTAACCACTTCTGAAACATGTGAAGGAGAAGAATGTGATTGGGAGTAGTCAGCATGGGTTTATGAAGGGGGAATAGTGTTTAACCAACCCAATAGCCTTCTGTGTATAGCTGACTGGAGTCCTGCACAGGAGGTGGTCACTATTGATATACCCCAGGGGTTGATACTGGAGCCAATTCTTTTTTAACACTTTCATTTGGTGGTCTGGACAATAGAATAGGGTGTGCTCTTAGCAAGTTCGTAGATGATAAAAATTGGGAGGGGTGGCTGAGAGACCAGCTGGTTGTGTTGCTGTTCAGGGAGACTAAAACAGGCTGGAAACATGAGCAAAGAACCTTGTGAAGTTCAGCAAAGGGTGATGCCAAGTGCTGCCCCTGTGGAGGAATAACCCCACGCACCAGTACAGGCTGGGGGCTTAATGACTGGAAAGCAGCTTTGCAGAAAAGGCCTGGGAGGTCCTGGTAGGCACCAATTTGACATGAACCACCAATGTGCACTTGTGGCAAAGATGACTAACAGCCTCCTGGGCTGTGAGAGGAAGACCATTACCAACTGGTTGAGGGAGGTAATCCTTCATCTTTACCCAGCCTGGTGGGGCCCCATCAGGAGTGCTGTGTCCACTTCTGGGCTCCTCAGTACAAGAGACATGGATGTACTGGAGTGAGCTTAGTGAAGGGTCACAAAGATAATTAAAGATTGGAGCACCTGACAGACAAGAAGGGCTGAGCCAGCTGGGACTGTTCAGCCTGGAAAAGAAAACGCTTCAGGGGGATCTTACGCATGTATGTAAATACCTGATGGAAAAGTGAAAGGAGACGGAGCAAGACTCTTCCCAGTGGTAGTCGGTGAAAGGACAGAAAGTACAAGAGGCAGAAATTAAAATACAAGAAATTCCATTTAAACATCAGAAAACTTTTTATGACACTGTGAGAGTGGTCAGACACTAGATCAGGTTTCCCAGAGATGGTGAAGTCTCCATTATTGGAGGTATTAAAAACCCAACTAAACTGAGCCTGCTTTGAGCGGGTGGTTGGCCTGGATGATCGCAAGAGGGTTCTTCCAGTGACAGCTGCTGTATGAATCTATGATTTTCACATCTATTTTGAACTAAATAATTGTATCAAAGAGTTTTGAAAGGATACAAATTATTTAATCAATTCTGGTGTGAAAAATCCAGAAGTACATTTCCTTTCTTTCTAGTTCGTGGCTCTGAGTGTTCGGATGCTGTCCTGCTTTCTGCCTCTTGGCACACTAGAACCTGCCCCTAATTCTTCAAATTGCAGCATGTCTGGTACAAGGCCGTACTCAAATGCTTGCTCAGTGTGTTTACTGTCCCTAATTGCTCTGGCTTGTATGTGTTGTTTTTCCCCACAAGTAGCCTCTAGGTAAGTTTTCTTTTGAAAAACTTTATATCCCTTTGTGCTGACATTGCTTCTACAGGGCCTACTTGTAATATCACAAGGCAAACTCTTAAGGTTTTTCTCTTCTCATAGCAGTGATTAGTTTACCCTTAATTTGCAAACTGTACTGCTGTCTTTGTGGAAGTGTTTGCCGAGGGAAAGGGGGGTTTCCTCTCCTACCAGTTAAAAACAAAATGGACACCAGGGAAAAGCTTTCCATGTAAAGGAGATAAAGACCTACTTCCCTAAGGTGTTTGAGAGTCTCCCAGGTGAATTTGTTGCAGTCCTAATAAGGATGAATCATCACTGTTTTTCTTACTGTATAAACTGAGTTCTTTAGAGTCATCGGAATGATGTTAATGCTTGAGTGACCCTTGCCAAGGTGGCTGGTGTATAACATGAACTAGGAGAGCAATGAGTAATGTTAGTCCTGGTCCTGCTGCCTGCTTCATGTCTGTATGCAGCCATGGTGAGATTGTTCACTTGCAGAACAGATCCTGTCCCCAGCCTACACACTAATGTTTATGCTCAGAAAGGTCCAGAAAGTATTAGAAACCTACCTGGTGGGATCTGCAAGTGACCCGATGAGGAATGGATTGCCTCTACTCCTATGAGCATCTGAGACGGATACCTTGTTATCAGGTTAAGATAAGCTTGTAATCCATTGACATCAACATCTTTTAAAGAGTTAGTCTGTACAATATGGCAGTTTTCCCCTTGAGGTCATTGGTCACCTGGAACATGGAAAAAATCATTCATTGGGGTGGAAATGTAGCTTTAGCAGTCCCTGGAGAAGCTGTTGTTTGAAACAAGAGTGGAAAGGCACCAAACTGGAAATTAAAAATACTTCTGAATAGTCTAGAAGTGTGTTGTGTGCTCTTTCAAATTGAACTTGCTAGAGCCAGCACTTACATATTTCAGGTCATTTCTAAGTGTGCCCAGCATCAGATTATTTAGTTTCTAGGCAGGAAATGGAGGGGGATGAAGTGCATTTGTACCAAGTTCCTGCTGGCTATCCTACATAAGTGAAGAATGCATTCTTCAGATCACTTAAATAATATGTTTGTGTTTCTCCAATGACTATATAGCATGTCTGAAGATGAATGTCCAAATATAGCTGTTATGGTTGTACTGGGGCCAGGTATGAGGGAGCAGTATTGTTCTGGTTTTAATCAAGCTTGCTCTCTTATACCTGTTCTGATTTTGTTCATAAGTGGCCTCTCAAATATGTGGCTCTGTAGCTCTTTTATTGTTGTTGTTATTCTTATTAATCTATTATTATTTATTATTAGTGTTCTTGTATATACTGAGCTTTAATTTAAAGGGGCAATACACTTGGAGGCGAGTGAGGTGTTCTTGAGATAGAGGTTGGATTGTGCCCTTCGTTGGTAGTCCACAGCCTGAAAGGAGGGATGATGGTGTTTGTAGTCGTGGAAATTCAGACTATGGAAATCAAAACTTTTGTCTTAAATAGCTGAAAAGGTTGATTTAAAAGGAATGGAACCCTAGATTTAAGAAATCAGTACAGAGCATTCATCTGTTACGAGTGAGTCCATGCAATGATCCAACTACTGGAAGTTGCATACTGACGTTTTTATTAAGTCCAGACAGCAGCAAAGCAGTCACAGGTACATGCTGTCACAAGCTGATGCTATAAATGTTCTACATCTAAAGTAATTCTAGAGGTTATTTTAGAAAGAGAATAAGGAAGTTTGTGAAGGCTTTTTTTTTTTTTTTAAAGGTATGCAACTACAGTCTTACAGCTTTTTTTTTTCTTCTGGTGGTTTCAGAGTTCTTTATAAAGCAAAGCATTGGCCTTGAAATTGGGTTGCTAGCTTTTCATTCAAAAAAATTTCTGAGGGAAACTGTTGATGATGAAAACTTGAGTGTTCTTGGCATATAACTAATACAGCTCAGACAGTCCTTGAGGACCTGTGTGTGTAGGAAACTGCTTTTTTTTGGTTGTTTCACAGACTTCAGTGGCCTTCTACTCCTGGCTCGCGCTGCCCCTCTGATGTTATATCAGGTATTATACCAGCACCGCCTGGCAGAGACTGGGAGAAGAGGGGTTTGGGTGTCTGCTGGAGGAGAGGCCTGAAGCTGCTGGAGGTTGGGGTTTGTCTGTGGAAAGTAGAGAATAAGGCCTTTGCCCAGTCGTTTTGGGAAATAGTGTTCCCTGGAGCAAAGGGTTCAATGTTGTCGTCACCGGGCATGGGGGTGAGGTGCAGAGCCAGGTACTATACTCAGGGAGGTTGATGGCCTCGGAAAAAGTGGTGCAGGTTGTTCATTGTATTTATTTTAGTTCTTTGCTGCATTGTAAAATGTGAAGGGCATTAAATTGTTTGAGTGTGTAACTTATTCCTACCTGCCGCCTTATACTTAGTGCCTTAGATTTACCGTGCTCCTGTTGTAATACATCTCAGTAAGGTCTAACATAAGAATGTGTTTCTGCAGTCGTGGCTTCGTGAACACAGAACTTCTCAGTTTTCAGACATTTCATCAAATTCCGTGTTTAAAAGAAAGATGGAGTTCCGCTTTGTAGGCTACAGCATCATAAAGAAGTTTAACCTGTCTCCGTTTTCTCTATTTTCAGAGGTGTTGTCAAAGTTGACATCAATCTGCAGAAGGTGGACATTGACCAGTGTTCGAGTGAAGGGTGGTTCTCGGGGACGCACAGGTGTCATCTCAACAATTCTGAGGTATGTCTGTCCTTAAGGGACTGAGCTACATTTCAATAACAACTCTTTCCACTATGAATAATCTGCTGTAGTATAAATTTTATGGACTTTAAATGTCGCTTGTAGGCTGGAAAAAGTCCTTCTGCGCAAGGCGTTACGGTACGCGTGAGTTTCAGGAGTGCCCGCATTTCAGGAATATTGATGTTAAATAAAACAGAAGTTAAGTTATTGTGCAGAAATAATAGCTATAGAGAAAAAGAATATTGCTAGTGAAATAACTTATGAAGTTCTGCTTGGAAGCCGAGCAATTATTTTACACTCAAAATTAAAATATGCTTTTAATGTCAGTGTCACTTTTGACTGGACAGCCTTGCAAAATATGGAAAAAGTAGCTCAAATGCTAATAATTATTCCGAAAACCATGGGCTTTTGGTAGAGTGATAAAGAATAACAGGCAGAACTGGATACTGTAAATCTTGTGTAATAGAAATGCCAACATTTTGACAGAGCTGACTAAATGTTTCTGTTCAGCTCCTTCCTGCTTCCCCTTTCCTCTGAAGGTCTGTGTCTGGCTCCGTCTGTCAGCGTATTGTAGATCATTCAGCCTGGCCAGTCATATGTGTTCAATGAAACTTTAAACCAAAATACATTCCGTGATTTTTCTTTTTATTATGGTGTATGATGTTGTTTTCAAAGGCACCCATTTGCTTTCTGGGACGGTAGGCGCCTCATGCACTTCTGTGCTTTCAGAAATGGCAGTTAAAAGTTGATGGTTGTCTACCAGAGGTCGGGAGATGTTTGCCTAATTTGTTATAAAATGCTGCTTTATCAAAGCCAAATCTATATTTAGGAAAAGAGTTGGTTTTGATGAATTGATCTACTAACACTTTTGAGCAAGAAAAACTCGGGATTTTTGTAAACATCCTATTTGGTATTTTTCACTTTTTTTTTCTTAAAATAAACTAGAAATGAGAACTCATACCTTTTGATAAAGACTACTTTTAAATGAAATATTTCTGCAACTGGAAAAAAGATTTTTTTTTTTCCTTTGTCAAGTACTCTCTGCCTTCTGAATTCAAGGGAACACTTTTTTAATATCTCATGTTTCTTCCTAGAAGAAACTATTGTTTCCCATGAGATCTGGTAAACCTTGATTTTTAATATATGCTAGTCATCCTGAATGTGATTATATATTTTGGCAAGTGCTCCCCCTTTTCATAATGTCTTACGAGCAAAATTGTCAGCAGAGGGGTGAGACTGTAAGTTGCATCTCTTCCTGCAACTGAGAAGAAAAGGGGGGAAAAACCCCAACCCTATGAGAAGACTAAGAAAAACCAAGGCAAAAGTAAAACAGAGAAAATGAAGAAAGACCAATGGTGGACTTCAGTCCACCTTTGTTTTTGGTTCAAAGCCCATTGTTTACTGTAATGGGCTCTGAATCATGCTCTGTATTTTTAATATATAGGAAAACAGAATCTGAGTCAAATCGAACTGGTTGTAATTCCACAGTTACACTTCCCTTCCAAATCTCAGTCCTTAAGAATGTGTCCTGGAGAGAACAATGCAAAAAGCTACTCTCTCTGGAAGAGTTTGTTGGAGAAGGGGGGAAATAAAAGAATTTTTTTTTACTCTTCACAATTCATTTTCATGGGAGTAAAACATGGGTTTTATTTCTCTGTAGAATTCACTCTGATTATAAAAAGGGGTTTTCTTTATGAATATGACATTCAGTAAAATTTACCTCCCATTTTATTATTGCACATGAGGCAAATGGAATGTCATTTGGGAAACTGAGTGCAGAATGAAATTGTTCGTGAAAGACAACCTTAAGTGTTACAGAAAGTTTTCTGTGAATTGCAAAAAACATTTTAATTCCTCAGCCTTTAGTGTCTTAGTGGGCCAGCTGGAAAATCTCACCTCTGTGCTTTGGTCTCTTTACTGTGCATGAGAAACTGAGGTGGCTGTCATGGACCACTGATGCAGGGTGTGAGGCTCCACCAGCTTTGAGCCAGGACTGGCTCCTTGGCATTCTGGGCTTCACTTTCCTGCAGGGAGGGTGGTGGGAGTTTCCTATCTGCTGAAGGAGAGAATAACATTTCTTTTACTTAAAGTGTACGTTACAGATCAGTTCTTCATGTTGGGATTCTGTGGTGTGTTGTTGTAAAGCTGGCTGTGCTCAAGTGAGTTTCCTCGTAGAGCTTTTATTTACCAGACTCGCTCGCACTGTTTTCACTTTTTTTCTGTTTGTTCTGCATAGTGTTTTCCTTGTTCTTTAGAGCTAACAAAGAGTGCTCTACATAGTTTACAATAATCTTTTTTTTTTCTTTTTATACAGCACTTCTACTACTGTTAAGTCCAACCTGATAGATCAGTATAAAACCAGAGCTGCTTTGTGCTCTTTTGACAATAGGAAGTGCTACGTTTGCTGATGTTACAAAGGATGTTTTATTTTTCATACTGGACAGTTGCGTGCATTGTTTTAGTAAGCCTACTGTGATGCTGTGGTCCATAAGTGAGTTCCTTAAAAAGGAATTAAAATATACACTCTAGGGCATAATTTCTTTACTGAGTGATGCTGTATATGAGTGGCTCATGTTCACACCTTAAGGTGTTAATAACATCAATAAGGAGAAGAATGCCACTTCATGAATGGCTTTTTGACTGGTGTGTAGAGCAAAAACCTGTCAGCTGCTCTTCCTTCTTCATGGCACTTATGAGAGTGTTAAATCAACAAGGCTCTCATGGCTAAGAGAAGGATATATAGGTGATACAAACCTCCCCCAAAATGAAACTTGCAAGCAGGGAGTGCCCTTCCTTATTGCACCTGAAAAGGATGAGACTCCTTGCTTAATAACAGTGACCCTGGGGATGGGGAGTTGCTGGGAACAATCTACAGAGAAGTTTTTTCTCCTTTTACCCCATGGTCATCGCTTCAGGAGAGTTCAGTCCAACGGGGACTTCTTTCTTCACAAGCAGGTCCCATAAGTTGCTTTTCACACTTTGTTTCATTGGAAGCTACCCTGTGGAATAAGGGTAAATTACATATTTGTGCAACAACGCTTTCCACTCATTTTGCCTTATAAATGCTAATGAAATGACATTCCCCATCCTCTCTTTTATCTTCTTAGAGGTGGATACAGAAATACCTGCTGCTGCTGGAATGCTCTGCCCCAGATTACAAAGTCTGTCTCCAGCAGAGTAAGGAAGAGAATAGAGATCTCTGGATTTCCAGTTCTGCTTATGTTAGACCCTCCTTCCTCTCTTTAGTTTTGGTAGGTGACTTGAGGATTTAGTGCAGCATAGCCTTTCCATGGACTGTTTGGTAAGCCTTTGGTGTACTGAATTTCTGATTTGGCTCTGAAAGTCTGTTTACTGCATAGCCCATACTATGTGGCCAGGCTACCAGTGCTATTAAATCTAAGGCATAAAGCTCAGTATTTCAGAGATGCAACTCCCCTCTTCCCTAACACTATGAAAATAATAGCAAGTGACAGACAAGGGGAGGGGAGTGAGTTAGGGAATGGACAAGAGGTGGAAAAAAACCCAACTTACAGGTTACTAAAATGATTCTTTACTCTGTCTTATATTTCAGTTAATTTTATAGTGGCTAAAATCTACTAGACACATCACAGGCAAATTTTCCTGCTTTCTGTGCTGTCCTGAAGTGTTTATCTTCTAAACAAAAATCAGTTGAAAGGAGGGAGATGGAGGCGCGTTACAGTGAATCTAAACATATGGTAAACCAGTGGTCTGTACAGAAAAAGAAAAAAGGAAGGAATGAATGGGACCAGACTTCTACCAGAAAATAGAGATTGTTGCTGAAAGTACTGTATTGCCTTCACATGCTCTGGCACAGAATCATTAGGAGATGATGCTAACTGTGACATTGGGATTTGGCTTTGGAAGGTCATCAAAAATAACCTGATTATGTGATGGAATAGTTGTAGTGTTAGTCCTTGTTTGAAAGAAAAATGGTGTGTGGTTGGGCAATTAAAGAATATTACAACTCAAACACGCAAAAAGCTTAGACATACTATTCTTCCTTTAACTGCCATCTTTCCTTGGATTTAGGCATTCCTCAAGAGGATTAGTGACTTTTAAATATCTCGCTTTGTGTGTGGTGCCCTCAAGTTGAACACAAAAAAAAAAAGCAAGTGCTGGACACTTTAGATTCCCCATTTTTAAACTGACTACCTAAATCCCTAATATATAGTCATATTTTTTTTTCTGATTTGTTCTCTTTTGTGCACAGGACCCATATATCCCTGATTTCATAGCAGCCTAGGTAAACTGGGAGAACAAGAGCGCCTTCCTTCAACCTCAGGATGACTGGAAACTGCCCAGTCTAATTAACCAGGAAGTTAGGTGAGACTTAACACAGGAAAGCCAAACTGCAGCAGTAGCTAAAGTCTATTTCAGTTGTGGGGTTTTTCTCTCTCTCTCTTTTTTTTTTTTTTTTAATTGTATCAGCCAAAAAGAGGCTGATGGCCAGATATTCTTTTCTTGACCTGGGGGAAGAAGGCAAAATTCATGCTGAAGCACAGAAAACTACATTCTCCTTCCTGCCCTTACTTTGACACCCAAATAGGGAACAGATTCTCCCTCCCCCCCCAATACATGGTCTAGAGATTTGGATTCTGTAGGGCTGTAACAAATGAAGCAGGTAATACCTGCAGGGTTAGAAATAATTAAAATGAATTAGAGAAAAAAATGATGCACGTAATTCTGACATTAACAAACATTAAAAAAACCCCAGTTACCCAATAACAAATCCAAAGTAGTTTCATTGTACAGGCAAGGCTGGTTATGGGGGTAAGAAAACATGCACTTTTACCCTGTTTTAAACCTCTGAAAATTTTTCTTTTAATGTATTAGATTCCTTCCCCGTACATTCTGGCAGCAGCTGCTGGCGCTTTTAGTAACAACTTTGGAGTCCTTGTTGAGACACCAACAATAAAATCAAGGCTGAGGAGTGTCTGAAGAAATCAGCTGGCGTAGCCCGTTGGGCTCGGCCGAGTGCT